AACTTGCATTTAAATAAACGTGTACAAACTACAATAAGCCAATCAAACTTTTACCTGTGTTTCCCGAGCAGCTGCTAAAGCAACGGCAGTATCATTTTTACCTATATACCTACAAAAAGTGAACGTTAGGGCAGTGACCAATGGCCATAAGTAAAAGATAGGATGCATGCAAAACATGTTAAGTTTGATAAGAACGGACGCCTGAAAAGTGAAAAGTGGTCTCACTCATGTATCCATTCAACGTGTTTGCCTTGCAGAGTTGAGAGCAGTCAACTGAATTTCACTCATCCGTAGGTATGTACACCTGTTCCACTGCACTGGTTTATCTTTTAACTGCTGTTGACAGCTGACTTCATAAATAGCATTTTTCTCAGTGCAGCCAGCTTTTTGCTTCGATTTGCATGTGTGACACTTTCAATCAAACATGTCTCAAATGCAAATCAGCGGACTAACAAGAGAATCGTGTGCCTACAGTTCTGAGGATATGATCAGAAGTGCCATTCCAACAGAGACGCAGCCGCAGGTCCTCATAGCGAATTCTGAATCCCGGAAAATGGAATGCCGTAAGCCTATAGCAAAACAATGAGTACACGACGCTCGCTCCTCCTAACGGAATCAGGGTTAGGTATATGATGACAGTCAATATTGAGACAAGCAATACTTTTCCTGCAATTAATTCGGTCACGTATGCAAGGTTTGAACTTAATCGTACGAAGTACGTGCCATTTTCATATTCTTATTTATGCTCACACAACAATCGGTAATAAGAGCAAAGATAAGAGTGAACAGTGAACACTTTAACAGTCTGAGCATGGTGAGAGTGAGCAGTGAACAGCCCTCTCATCCGCTGCACAACTGGTTCCCAGACCACCGGCTGCAATGACCGGCCCTAACGAGCCTCTCACACTGCCCAGAGGAGGTGTGCAGTGCTGCCCTCGCAGCTACCGAATTAGTCGCAAAACGCTATAAAGACGTGCTCCGCCGGCCGGGTGTGTTTCATTGCTGCGTGACGTCAGAGAGGGCCCCCACGGGAGGCGGTTCCCACGGTTGTCAGTGGCCAGTCCTGAGGGTCTGCAGAGCGCCCCCCCCCCCCCCGGCCGTCTCAGCGGGCAATGGAACTGGTTGGCGCAGGGAGTATACGATCACGCACGCATGTCTGAGGATTTACAGGTGTATGACCGATGGACGCGGGGTTCTTCTCGGTCGTATCTAGTCACACACAGTCAAAGTTCGCGTTATAGTACGGCCAGTGGCTATATGTAAAGAATAGGTAAGTACCTATACTGTCTGTCCTTTGGATATCCGAAATTATTCACCACCTAGCACTCTTGGGGACGGTGGGTACTGGTAAATGAATTAACCCGCGCCCCGCTGGGCTATTCAGCCATACACGCCCTGCTGGGGGGGGGGCAGATTCTGCCCCCCCCCCCTGTCTAACTTCCGAACCGATGGTCGTAGAAAGACGGGGAAAATGGCAATCGAAAGCTCTCAACAAGGCGGATCTTAAGAGCCCAAATTTTTTTGCTTAAGTAGGTCAGAGGTCAGGTCAAGATCAGGTCAAGGGTACAAAATGCAAGTTTCTACAGTATCAGCCTTGCACCGTAGTTGCCGAATAATGGACTGAGACTGATTGCCCAAAACGTCTTCTTAGACTACCAAGACAATATTCGTTGCATACAATGTCATTCAAAGGTCAAGGTCAAGGTCAGGTCAGGTCAGGTCAGGTCACCAAAAACAAAATATAGAAAAGGGCATGTGCGACACATGTTTTATGGGTCATTTTACTCATAGAATTCCATAGGCACACTCAATGAGCGATATGGACCACCTCTGGATGAATTTCAGGTCGAGGTCAGGTCGATCAAGGTCAGGTCAAGTGAGGTCAGATTTTGAAGTTGGTTGTTAAGGCCTAAAAAGGTGTCTATCTGATGCAGTGTTTCACGGCGAATCGAATGGTGCTATTTTTGTTTCCGTACAAGGTCTAGAACTTCCAAAAGAATCATTTTTCAAAATTTTGTGTGTCGTGACGTCATAAAATTTTGAATAACTCCCACATTTTTACACCGATTCTTCTAAAAAATTGTATGTAGGTGCACATAGACCACTTCTTTGACATATATTCCGGTTTTTTCGATACACTCAAAATTTAGAATTTTATAATTATTTTCCCAAAAAAGTCAGTTTTTTTAGAAAAAAAATTGGGCCAAAATCCGAAATTTTCAAAAACCGAGATAGCCATTTGATAGACAAAGTAGAATCACGTGTAACCTTTTTGGTACGTCTTGATTCCTTTAAAAATGAAGATGTAAGCGGCGTTTGAAATTTTGCCGTTTTTTAGGCGAAAATGGCGAACATGACGTCACTAAAACGTCAATTTCTCAAAAATTTCCCGACGGATTTCGCTCAAATTTTCAGGGAACGTTTCAAATTGATGTATGATAAGGTACTGAAAGTTTAACGTCGCTGGCTTAACGCGTTTAGAAGTTATTGACGAAAAACGGGAGGGGGCAAATTCTGCCCCACCCCCCAACGGGGCGCGGGTTAAGTGATCCTGCAGGGCGACCGTAATGCCCCGGCATCCTCCTTAGCACCGTATCAAATTAACACCATTAGGTTTCCTGAACCCGCGCCCCGCTGGGCTATTCAGCAAATAGCCATACGCGCCCTTCTGGGGGGGGGGGGGCAGATTCTGCCCCCCCCCCCTGTCTAACTTCCGAACCGATGGTCGTAGAAAGACGGGGAAAACGGCAATCGAAAGTTTTCAACAAGGCGGATCTTAAGAGCCCAATTTTTTTGCTTAAGTAGGTCAGAGGTCAGGTCGAGGTCAGGTCAAGGGTACAAAATGCAAGTTTCTACATTATCGGCCTTGCACCGTAGTTGCCGAAGAATGGACTGAGACTGATCGCCCAAAACGTGTTCTTAGGCTACCAAGACAATATTCGTTGCATGAAATATCGTTCAAAGGTCCAGGTCAAGGTCAGGTCAGGTCAGGTCAAGTCACCAAAAACAAAATATAGAAAAGGGCATGTGCGACACATGTTCACGGGTGGAGAATGTTTGAAAAAGTTACCCCGGCCGGCGACGAAAAGTCAGAAAGACGATGATGCTCAAATATTTGTCAACGGTTATCAACAAACCCCTATTCTGTGGCATAGAATAATGGATGTCTGCCGTTTGTACGTTTTTAGGGAAAACTGCTGCACGCTGGTGCGGAAGATTTCGTAATTGTAACAACAATTTTGCAACACGCCTTAAAATTTCGGACGCATGTCACCTAGTGCTAGGTCAGGTCATCAGGTCAAATTTGCTGGATGATCGTGCTAAAAATGCCATCATGCCCTTTGCAAAGCTTATTCCTTGGAAGTTGCAACCTTCCCACACAAAACAAAATGTCAAATTTGACCGTTTTGACCCTCTTATTGATTTGAGCTCGCGCCTGAAATATTATTCGCGACCGAGCCTTTAACGAGTAATCGAATGTTTTGTTTCCAGTGTTTAAGCTCCGTTATGTTCATGAACTGTGAGGAAAGTTGTCGGAGAACGCTAAAATCAGAGAAATTTGGCTTTTGATGATCTATGGTGATTTTATTATTGAGCTTGCCTAAAACATGACCAGATTTCTCTGATCACGTTTGTCGCTCTTTCAAACGTCGTTCCGCTTCTCGCCTCGTAGCCCAGTAGCCGAGTTAGAAGGAGCGTGAAAAGCCCACCTCTCGACACAACGTGTTACGATAAGGCCACCACCAGCTGGCGCGGGTTAAGTTGGGGGAGCCTTGAGCCCCAGCAGCTCGTCCTTCTATCTCACTGATATTACCCTCGTCCTGTCTTGTGATGTTATTACAGTGCCATCTTACGATAACGGCCCTTACGATATGATTTACTTCTGTTTGATGAAACATGTCGGGCTCCGCGATGAAAAGACTTAAAAACATGGAAGCTCCAAAATGAAAATAAAGTAAATTTTCAAGAACTTTTCAAGGTAGATAAGAATAATGAGAGACGCTTTTATAGATGGCAGTTTTTTTCGTATGGAGACAGCTTTTAGGATTTACAAAAGTGGAAAAAGTTACCCCGGCCGCGCCGCGATCGGCTGAAAGTTACCCCGGCCACGGCCGGGGTGGCCGGGGCAGGTTCTCCACCCATGCACATGTTTATGTGTCGTCTTATTCATAGAATTCAATAGGCACACTCATTACCTACGTGATATGGACCACCTCTGGATGAATTTCAGGTCGAGGTCAGGGCAAGGTCAGGTCAAGTGAGGTCAAATTTTGAAGTTGGTTGTTAAGGCCTAAAAAGGTCTGATGTAGTTTTTCACGGCGAATCGAATGGTGCTATTTTGTTTCCGTACGAGGTCTAGTACTTTCAAAAAAAAATCATTTTTCAAAAAATTTGTGTGTCGTGACGTCATAAAATTTTGAATAACTCCCACATTTTTGAACCGATTCTTCTGAAAATTGGTATGAAGGTACCTACACATAGACCACTTCTCTGACATATATTCCGGCGTTTTCGATACACTCAAAATTTAGGATTTTATAATTATTTTCAAAAAAATAGTTTTTTGAAGAAAAAAAATTGGGCCAAAATCCAAAATTTTCAAAAAACCGAGATAGCCATTTGATAGACAAAGTAGAATCACGTAAAAACTTTTTTGTTACATCTTGATTCCTTTAAAAATGAAGATGTTAGGGACGTTTGAAATTTTGCCGTTTTATAGGCGAAAATAGCGAACATGACGTCACTAAAACGTCATTTTCTCAAAAAGTTTCCAAAGGATTTCGCTCAAATTTTCAGGAAACGTGTCAAATTGATGTATGATAAGGTGCTGAAAGTTTGACGTCGCTGGAGTAACGCATTTAGAAATTATTGGCGAAAAACAGGAGGGGGGCAGATTCTGCCCCCCCCCCCCAGCGGGGCGCGGGGGGCAGAATCTGCTGCAACCATTCCCGGAGTGCACGACCCACTGGATAACGATGCTGCAAAATAGAAACGCCTGAAAGCATCTAGTAAACTAGGTGTATTTTATCACATTGCAATACACGATAAATTATCACATCACAAGCCAAATCAAATACCGTAACTTTAATTAACGTTACTGTAATACGCGTTACCTACACATGATACCGGACAATAGTCGCTTAGGTTCCTACTAATTTCTCCTCCTACTTCTAGGTAAACGACAAAAAATCATACACCAACTAATCGAAAATAGCTAACCGTACCTCTACGATAGCAGGCGTAACATAAGCTAAATGCAGTTTCTGTTACATCGGGTCAGCAAGAAAAGTAAAAGATACGCGAACATTTAGTGTGGTAAACTATAAATGCATTGATTTAGGTGGGTCAATGGAAGGTGGTAGGTAAGGTAGGTAAGGCAGGTAAGGCTGGCGGGCAAGGCTACATCCATGCCTACTTGTGTGATCATGATATGCAATACACTTTCTAACGACGGCTACTTTACTCCCATGCTGTGACGTACTCGTAATTATCACTCACACTTATTGCTAGCATTCGGTTAACTACCAAATACGTAATATAATTCGGCCCATGACACCGGCGTCTTATTTCAAACACTGCAAGGTTATTCCTCATTTTAGATATGCGGATAAATTCAATGCTCATCTCATTCGTCTTTGAATAAATGCACACAGTTTCATGCACTTTGTTTTTGCTTTGACGGATAGTGTACCTAACTATATCCATGTTTGGACCGTGTACTGAATGGATAAAGGGGACACAGAGTTGATTTGACCAGCAACTGAAATGTCGCTGTTGCTGAGCCAGTCCCGTGTGAGAAATAGCTACCGGAGTAGTGGAACAGGCCAATAGCCTCCCAGACGGATAAACGGTCACCCAGGCTGACCGCACTGGCTGTGTTGCAGTAATCGTCATCCCGATACAGCTGCCCAAGGAATGGAATGGATAAGTTCTGAAGATAAAAGGACAAGAAAGTCGGCACAGTGAGCAGAAGGCACATCATCGCCTTAGCTAAATGTAATTTAAAACATTTAAACTCCTACCATGGCTTTGTGACGATTATAAATCCAGGATGCTGGGTGCTCGTGCATCGAAACAAATTACGCAATCGAGATGCTTGTGCAAAAGCTCAATGTTCAGGTGCTCACAACTGGTAGCTCAGAAGACGCTTCTGAAGCATAGCTTACATTTAGCTCATTAACACATGCCTACCTACCGTCAAGTTCATCGGACGCGCCACTAACACTCGCAACCCACCAATCATCAGCGTGGTGTTATGGCCAAACAACGCATCCGTTCCGTGCTTCTATCCTCAGGATACTGAAATCCTTCTCCTCCACGCCGCAACCCCCTCCGGGCTGGACAGGCAACTTTATCTCATGCGGGCTGCTCCCTTGGAGCGGCACCGCTGCTCCCGAGGGAGCGCACCCCGTAGCCGGGTGCAGTGAGTGCCTTGGGGCTGGGTGGCCTGTCCTCTGGACGGGCTCAGCCCCGGCGACTCACTAGGGTGCCTGCCCAGACCAATGTCTCTCCCTATATCCTAGCAACCTCCCGGCTCTGAAATGGTCTCATTGGACCGAAAGAGCCTAACCCAACAAAACAAACAAAGCCAAACAACGTTTTCTGTGACCTCGTCACTAACCAGGTACGCAGGGCATCACAAGTACAGTCACGAATCCTCTTATAGTCAGGTGTTAACCTTCAGAGCCACATTCATAACCCAAAGACCTGTCGACACGTCTCATCCAGCGATCTCCCACGCACCACGACCAATTTCAGCTTCACTTCGTCCTCTAGAGACGAAACCGATGCTGGTGCTGACATCTATTGCAGAAGCAGCAGGGCGGCAGTAATAGTTCCGAAAGCAGCCGCAGTAGCTCGAGTGGCGCTGTTTCCGTCCCCGATGTTCACCTGAAGTGGGGTGAAACGTGCATGAGTTCGCTTTTGGGAGAAGTATGCTAGATATACGCAGAAGCTGTTGAACCTAAAAAAAATGTTTTAGGCTGAGTTACTTATTTCGTCATGACAAACCCTAAGAAACTTAAATTGCATATTAGTGGTGTGCGCGAATTAGGATCGATACCTACCTACAAGCTCCAATCATGTGTGGCCTAAATGAGCTCCACCGCGCTGAAAATTCGAATTGATTAAAAAAAAAATCAAGACCTAATTACAGTCACCCTTTTGTAAATTCAAGCAGCCAATGGAGGAACCAAGACCAAGTGTCAAGTGACACCGACTACCAGGGCTGCGGAGTCGGAGTCGGAGTCGGTCGGAGTCGACAGTTGTGACCGGAGTCGGAGTCGGAGTCGGAGTCGATTTTAGAAACCCGAGCCGGAGTCGGAGTCGGAGTCACCGAAAATCTGTCGACTCCGCAGCCCTGCTAAGTCTGCGGAGTCGGAGTCGGGAGTTGGAGTCGGTCGGAGTCGACAATTCTGCCCGGAGTCGGAGTCGGAGTCGGAGCTGGTTTTTGAAAGCCGGAGTCGGAGTCGGAGTCGGAGTCGCCGAAAATCCATCGACTCCGCAGCCCTGCCGACTACCCATTTAGCTAATTTCGTCTGCAGCTTGACATCACGGACGTCTTACCGTGAACGTGAACGTGTCTTACCAGTTACCGTGAACGTTAACGTGTCTTACCGTGAACGTGTGTTTGTACGTGGAGCCGTGCTGGTCACTGCTCTCACACATGTAGATCCCCGAGTCCTCCTCAGCGGTAGGCTGAATCTGAGGACGACAATACATGGTGGGTCACCGGTCAGTGTTCAGTGTTCACCGCGGGCCGCCGGCTGTGCACCGATAGACGCGAACTCATCTACAGCGTGCAGAATGCTGCGTGTAGCGTGCAGAATGCTGTAAGTAGCACGCGAATCAATGCCATCAGTTGACAGAATGCGGAACAACCGGGGAGCATCAATGTAAAAGATGATGTGTTGTTACAAGGAACCGCGATTGGTAAGACAGAAACCCGGAGGCCCTAGCGCTCGCACGGCACACCTACCGGCAGAGGTCGCCCGGGTCGGCCGTGCAGCGCCAGCGCCGGCGCCGTGCCTTACCGTGAGGATGTAGGCGCCGTTGTCCGATTTGAGCTGAAACCGGCTGTCACTGAGGATCAAGAACGAGTCGTGAGCCACCTCCATCTTACCATTCTCGTCTGTCGGCACACGGAGGGGAGGGGTGGGGTCAGTGACCTGACCGGGGTTACAGGGATACCAGTCAGCTGGTGGGGAGGGGGGGGGGCGGTCGCCAAGCGGTCATTGGGTGGTCAGTCAGCGGGGAGAGGGTTGGGGGTGGGGTCAGTGACCCGGGTCACGATTACATCGCTTCATTCTTTTCTCGAACGTGTTTCTGCCAAAACGTTTATTTTGATACATTTTGCCTTTTTTGAGACCATACCAATACCATGATGGATGTAAAATATAACGACATGCTGGCAAAAAGGCTAAGTTAACGAGGGAGGTGTGGCCTGATTTCTTAAAAAGCTGAGCTCGGTAACTTTGGACTTTCGATTATCTCGGGACTGCCTAAAGTTTTAAGGTTTTCCTATATAATGACCATATCTTAACGATTTTTGTAACATATCGGATGCCGCTTACCGGCTCTAAGACAGTGGCTCTAATTAAAAAAATTCTAGTTAAATCACACAGGCCACAGCAAATATTGATGAGCTCGAAGCACGAGCGCCCGTCGTTTCTGGTAAAACGTGTCCCAGTATGACTGAAGTAAACGACCACGCGAATTACCAGCCGATCAATGTTGGTTATTATCTTAGACGACCGTGTTTATGTGCCTGTGAGGACCGTTTCATTTCACGACCCTGTAACACTGCCGTGTGTGTTATGCTCTCTGCAGCCATACCAGGTATTCAATCTCTGTCATCTTAACAGGCCTATCGCCGGGTCAGGCGGCCGGTCAGCCGAGCAGTGCTGGGGACGGGTGGCGCAAACTGGGATCTGGCAGTGGGATCAGATGTCGGGTCAGCACTCCTTTTACCTTAGTACTTTTTCTTACTAGATGTTTAGTCAACTACTGAGAAACGGCCTGTAAAAGACCTCAAATTACCTAACAGCTCACGTTATTCAATGTCTCGCCGATATACGAGCATACGGTCTTGCTCTTGCCGTTCCGTATCGGGCATGCCTGGCTACCATATACATATGTTTCACAATGATGTACCGGTACCAGGCAGAAGTCAGACGCCGCGCTGTGACGTCACGGCGTCTCATGACGTCACAGGGGGAAAACGGAGCGGGTCGTCCTCGGCTGGCACCGCTGATAACCAGTCCGGTCCGGTTTTAAAGGTAGAAGGGAGGCTAGGTGCCGTCGACCGCCCCTGCACTTCGCTGTTCTGGTCACGGGATACCCGGGAAGTGAGAGAAATGTCCGAACTTCACAGATTCACCGACACTTTATTTGTGAAACGATGGGTCTTGGGAAGGTCATCTGCTTACGCTAGGTATTCACCCGGCACGTTATTGGCACATCGAGAGGGTACGTAAATTCGCAGTGCACGGAACCAAACGACTGGATCAACAAACCTCATGTTGAACCTATATATGAAAAGATGAGTGCCAGCGCTATGAATAATAAAAAGTACCAACCACGCCGTTAAATTGCCACATCCCTCTCAAAGTAAAGGTCTTCCATCACTATTTTGTGATGTTTTATTCGCTTTCTTATCGACGGGCTGTGTCTGAGTGGCTCCTGGCGGTACCGTTATTGGTCTGGGACGCATCACCGGTCGTCCTGTGATGCCTCGCCCTCAGCCGCCCCGACCAAGGAGCCCAGACCGCGGCAGAGACGGGCGCCGCACCTCTTACAGACCTCCTGACCCACTCCCGAGCTACAGTGACCCGTGGGAGCCCGCACAGCAGCGGGCGCCCGCAGACGCCGGTCACACTTCTCCAGCCTCCACAGGACAACCAGTCAGGTCCCGGACAGTCGCGCGGGCTCTCAGATATCTTATGATACCTATATAGGCAGTAGGCACTTACACAGGCATCCTACAAAAAATGCCAACGATTGATGTTGAGCGTTATGGCCTCAACCAGCCATCGTTATATTTCATTGTGTAAATAATTAATGGCGATACATATTTTGAGAACTTATCATTGTTCCAAGCCTTGTGATTAATCGAATCAAAGAGCAAATGTCACTGAAGTTATCTCGAAACTAGAAGAGTTCAACAGTTCAACAGCTCGTAAAGCAAGAGGCATTAATCTTTAAAGGGAGTTAGCACACAAACTTACGAACGCTTTAATCTGGGTAAAATTCCAGCGCCATATTGCATGTATGTCCTAAGACCCCTGACTAATGCCCAATGCGCTATTTCATCATAGCCCCATAACCGGATCGAGCGTCCATTCCTGGCACCGCGCTAGCTCCGCTGTTGACCTGTCGAGCACGGGCGACGCGGCTTCGAGAAGAGAGAGCGAGAGCGACGGCGACCCAAGTCGCTGCTCTCTGGCGGAGGTGACCTCTACCAGGCGGCGGCACGGGTGACCTCTACCACACCGCGCGCGGACATGGGACATGACAGGCTAAGCCGGCCAAGCCGCTGCACCGTCACAGAGGAGTCCTATACCAACTGCACCGACCGGCTCGGTGGATCGGCCAGCGGGGTCGTGCCACCGCACTGCGTGTTCAACGTGCACCGTGCACAGCTCAGTGTGCACACCGCACAGTGCAATGTGTGCACGTTGGGAGTGGAGTTGCGGGCGGACGCCGGCTGGTGGTCTGTGCGGCTTGCGAATGCGTCGTGCAACCTTGAATCGTGCGGCGACAGCCACCCCTCCCCCTCAGTACCCCCTCCCCACCGTTCCACAGTGACGTGCCGCCCTGACCGACCGGTGTCCCCACGCGGCGGAACTGGCGGTGACGGGGTCTGTCAGCAGAAACCTGTTCGGCCCTCCCCCGCACAGGCGCGAACAGGGGCCACCGGTCTGCTCAAGGGGACCGCGCCTGCCGAGAGGAGTCCGCTCGGCCCTACCCCCCCCCTCCACAGGGATGGGCAGGGGGCCACCTGTCTGCTCAAGGGGACCGCGCCTGCCGGGAGGAATCTGTTCGGCCCTCCCCTGCACAGGAGCTCGCACAGGGGACCACCTGTCTCAGCACGGGGATCGCGCCTGACGGCGACATTTAGGAGCTGCAGGAGCGAGTCATCAGCACCACCTGTGCACCGTTACCGGGCCCTGAACTTTGAGCACAGGACGGGGCTGGGAAGGCGAGACTGGATGTGTGGGTGGACTGTCGGCTGGTTCCGCCGCTCACACAGCCGCTGTTTGTATATGTACCGGAGGCTATGCACCGGCACGATCCGGCCAATATCGACCGCCATTCAGATGCCGGAACAGGCGCGGCCGAGCGGATATACATAGAAGTGGGGGAGGAGCTTTGGCGTGCTTTGGTCTCAGCATGTCAAGGCTCCGATACAAGAGAAGCCGGAGAAGCAGGATAGGACTCGCAATACTTCTAGGTGTAGCTTCCTTCTAGGCATCTTATTTTTTTCAGCCATTGGTCATTGGGATAAACAAAACATCACGTACCCACATAACTACGCTATGCAATGAAGAGAATGACGTTTAGTGTTCATGTAACCCTCGCCAAACCGTCTCATCGCAGAGGGGATGGTTATTCAGCGTTCCTCCTATTGAATAATCAGAGGGCTTGTGAGCTAAGAAACGTCTGTTCAATGTCTCATTTCATGCCCACATTTAGGCGCTACATCTGACCACACTTTTCATTCAGGACTGATCGGTTACAGACTAACTGACTGCTGCATGGTTATAACGACACAGGCCAGTGTCGGTGACAGTGCCGTTGCCGCACCCCCAAGCGGGTGACCTGCAGCGGGTGTCTCCTCACCTTGTTTGTACCAGAGCACCCGGCCCCCGGGGTGCACCGAACACTGGATGGACACCATGCCGCCCGGTGCACTGTTCACTGTCGACTCCGTCTGCGCATGGTCGTTGAAGCCCGGCTTCTGACCTGCGGGCACACAGGTCACAAAGGTCACAAAGATCATAAGGATCAGAGAGTTCTCAAAGGTCACAAAAGTCAGAAAGGTCACAAAAGTCACAAATCTCACAAAGGTCACAAAGATCACAGAGGTCACAAGGATCCCAAAGGTCACACGGAGCCGCCGGCTTACAGACTCAAGTGGGATAACCTGGCATCAGCATCCCAGACGGCATCGACGAACGATCAAAGGAAAACGGACAAACATGAGTCCAGTGCATGCCGTCCATCACCAGAAACAATAAACCAACTCATGTCCAGTTGGCGTACATAAAGTCGCCGCAAACGACGGCACGCTCGGCAGAGACGGCGAATTTTCAACGATCGCTGCCGAGTGCAATGCATGATGCAATCCGTGCGGTACGAACGTTACCTCACTGGGTGAACAGAATTGGTACCCTGGGAAAATGGCATCGATTCGTCTCAGTCTCTCTCACTCAGCCATTTCTCTCAGCATGCCGTAACTCCCATCTACCGCCAGGGGCGTCGCCGACGGGGGGGTCGGGGGTCGCGACCCCCCACTCGTCAGAACCGGGGGGTTCGACCCCCCCCCCACTTTTGGCGATGCTGAATAGGCTTTTTTTTTAGCTATCATGTCAGGGAAGTTGGCGTCAGCAACATCAACAAATACAACGTCAGATTCAGAATCGCTTCAAGAGCTCCCTATAGTCCCTATTGCTTATAGGTCAATAAGCTGTGGGCTAGAACATCAGCATGACAATATGATTTTAGTCCCTTTTTATCCCTCAAATGAGCGAGCGCGTCAAAACCGACCCAAGCGTTCGTCTGATTGTCAAAATAATGGTTGCAGTCGATTCGTCGGATGACGTATTAGTAACTACGAGACGAGGTACCTGGCTAGCCTCAGCCCTGCTACCCTCGGACCTGCCTGCAGAGGGGAAATGGGGTCAGATGGTGGATCCCTCTGGGGCTTTCCTAATAAGACGCGCAAAAAGGAGTATATTGCAACGAAACTTCCATTGACCTCGTGTTAAAATTTTACACCTATTCTAAAAAAAAATTGGCCCTGATTCGAATATGGATGACCTTGGTTAACTTTTTTGAGTTTTATTTGCTTCCACTTACAAGTGTGGTTTTTGGGGCTGATTTCGAGTTTAGCGCCCGTTTGAACCGTTTGAAGTAGTTTTGATAAATGATGGTTATGTAACATGTTACGAAGCTATCGTTGGTAGTTGTCAGTCACCCACTCTAGATGGCCGGCAGGAAGCCTGCTGATCGACCTGACCTGACCCGACCCGATCTACCCAAAATGCATGGAGTCATCATCTTTGTTCAAGACTAACATCGAACTCGTACTCGGGACCCCGATAACAGCTATGGCTCACTAAAGGCCTGTACACATTCAGCTGTTGTGCTGTTGTCAGCTGAAATAGGCTCCGCCCACCGCTTCTGGCTGACGGAACTTTATACATTTGGCTGATGAGAAATGTCAGCACTGGCTGACTGTTTACAAATATGGCGTTGTAAACAAATATTTCGTCTCATCTTCATGTTCTTTATTAATACAATACTTAAGCAGTTAGATATATTATCAAAATATTTACTGACAATGTGCGAAAGTAATAAGTATTTTTCTTGTATCGACAATTAATTATGAAACCAAATATATGTGAATAGCGCCAACATGGTGTCCAAATTTCATTTATCTGCAGTGCTCAATAAAAATCTGGCACGTGATTTGCTTTCATGCGCCACTACCAGTGTCCAAATGCGTCATTTATGGCTTTTGCTGACGGCTCGGCATCTCTGCACTTGCTTTCTCGTAGCAGCACAGCCCGTCAGCCCATGCTGCCGGCAGCAGAGAGGTGACGTCATGTTGCATGTGCAACATAACGTCATCAATTTTTCAGCCAATAGTGTGAGCGATTTTCGGCTGACAACAGCACAGCAGCTGAATGTGTACAGGCCTTAAGTCCTAGCAGGCGGACAGATTTTTCCTGCTTTTGGGCGTTGACCTAAGATGACCCGGCCAAGACCTTGAAATTAGGCATCATCGGCTTTCTCTCATCACGGGCAGCATGTTCGCTCTTCCGCGAAACTCTACCTCGATCAGGGGCCGAAAGCACGCCTTATGCGTTACGTTGGTAAACGTTTTACCTTAGCGACCCGCAAAATACGAATAAGAGCTACAGCAACACAGAAAGCGTATTCGATAGCTTTCTAAAGCTCTTTCGCCAACTTCGCCTCAGATATGACTTCGGGTCTATGGCTTGTGTGTGTACCATAGAGTCCAAACAGCTAAACGGACGGATTTTGCCGAAACATTTGTTCTGTAACAGCCTATGATTCAGTGAATGTGTATGATATTCATGTTATCACCATCGTTTTTGTTTCGTCGAAACACGTCGCATGGCTTACAATTTGAACTTAAAAACTTGAATAGAAAACTTGACATCAGGTTAAGGTCATGACCTGACCGGAAAAGAACCTGCTGCATATGGATCGATCTGTGTTACTGAGCTGAACACACTCCAGGTGCTGTCATCGCTCTACAACGTCTCCATCAAAAGTTGTTGTCGAAAATGTGTACCTTTGATGACCTAATGACTGACCATTTCAGTCACCACTGGTCATTAGCTGCACCGTATCTCTAAAATGAACAAGGTGCCATGGCTACAAAAGTATCTAGCGTTTTTAGCATATTCTCTCAAAGCAGAGGGCATCGTGCTTTTTCCCATATGTTATCATGATTGGTGAGGTCACACACCTATTTGACCTGACTTAGCTTCTCAGATGTAAAATCCCAGATTCATGAACTGTTGGCACTTATATGTAATCCCATTCATTACACCAAATTTCAGACTTATAGGAGTCAGGAGATAATCTATAGGAATGACAAGATTGCAGTTTTAAGAGGCATTAAAACTGAACTTGACATGACTTTGTGACCTGACCTCAGGTGACCTCTGCTTGATTTTTATGCACGATGCAAAACTGATGTACAATAAGATATACCGCTGCTTTCGCGGCGCTGCACGCCGAGGTTTTTCTCCGGGCACACGAAAAAACCGGGAGCTTGGCTAAAAATACCCCTACTCATCAAGACGAAGACCGGAAACCCGACCCCCCCCCACTCAAAAATCCGTGGCGACGCCCCTGTCTACCGCTGCAGTTAAAATACTGACCCGCTTTCCAAAAATCTGTTTTTCACTTGGGTGCATCAGCTGCCGCAGCTAAAATACGGATTTGCTTTCCAATAGAACCGTTTTTCACTTTGAATCACCGTGTAATTTATTATCAGTCCGGCGGCCAGTGCACTGGCCGCCGACGCCACCCCTTTCCCAACACTGCACTATAGAAGAGGTGATTTGTTATTTTTCCGACAATATTGCCACAATGTATAGGAACAGAAAAGTTAAGCTTTTTATCTCTCATATCTATATTCTACGGCCGTCGGATGGTGCACCTCCCACTCCAGGCCAGGCGTCTGGCGCGACACCCGGCCACCGACAGAGACTAGACTATGTTTACCAATCAGTAACGGCTGGGCCTGCCGTCAAATGACAAACGGGTTATTAGGGACCACTGCCAGTCATTGAACAGACAACTAAAAGTGCCACTGTAACTCCATTGATTGACGTTACGCTCACGTGACGCTTTCCACTCCATGCTCACGGCTTCATCTGTACGTGTGCTGAAAAAAAAATAAAGCACACAGTACATACATAGACGACAGAACAAATTCGCCTTCTAACGTGCCTCGCTATCCATAGGTATTTCACTGATAACAGAAGGTGAAGGCACTCAACTTTCTCAAACAAATAAATACAAAACGGCGACAAACGATTTTATTCGATCGATTATCGTTAGTTGGTGTGCACCTCCTGAAGGCTTTTATAATTCCCAGCATGAATACAATTATCTTTTAACGAATTGATTTAGGTACATCCATCGCTACGCTAAGGACTGGTTGGCAATGGTCCGACTTGCAATTGGCAGAGGTCCTTGTACGAAAAAAAAAAAAAAACGCAGTGGGCCAACTGAAAGAACTGAAGTAAGAACGTCAGTAGTCTGTTCCGCCACGGATCAGTGTACTGCGGTACAGTCTACAATCAGGCGACATCTCCCATGACAGCCATTCACTGCGAGGTAGACTGCGCCGCACGCAGGGATGCCCGGCGGCACAGCCTACCGCCCTGCAGCTTTATCGGGCCGACTCCGGCCATCTATAAAACGCGATCAAATCGAACTGAAGAAACCGGTATTATCATAAGCGAGATAAACCTCTTAGTCTATCACTGTCATATCACATGCTAATAACAATCGGCGTCTCCTTATTGCACAGTAACGAATCCACATACCCATGACATATTTATTATTTATATGGACTGAAAAGCTACGAATGATTGGGATCTTATGGATCTTATCTTATGGTATCAACTAAATACATGATTGAACGATATGTTTGTGTTTCATTTCATTGGGCCGGACATGTGACCTAATGCCCATGGAGATATAGAGATACCTATGTTAAGTGTTATAGCGAGTATGCGGAAAGCACTGGTTTTATCGATTAGATTATGGTTGCATAGATAAGTCTTCTCTCCCGGCCTTCTATTTGATTTCTAAAAAAAAAATGCTTGAAGGTTGGTATGTACTTACCTCAAACATACATATATCAGACAGCACACGCGACCGAATATGCATTACATGTGTTCATGTGCAAACATTATCGGCGCATGTAGTTCGCACGTGCATATACCGTTACCTGGTTCTCGATAGGGCCTCTGCAGTCTGCAGCACTCTTTATCAGAAGCACGACCCAAGGGACCGGCCCGCCCCGCCCGCACGGTCTATCCGGCCTCCTCTCACACCGGCAGCTCGGAGCTCCTCTGATCGCTGCTGAGTCAATGCGTCAGCGCAGCGTGGCAACGCAACAGTCCCTTTAAACTGGCCGTCTTGAATCGAGTCGCTTCACAAAAGTTCATGAATAGTTGATCAGCGTGCCG